TGATATCTAAAGTGAATAGGGGCGTAATAGTGCACTAAATCCATAGTTTGCTATGCACACTAGTAATAGAGTCATACTTTGATATCATTTTCTGTACCGCAGAAAAAGCAAAGGAAATGTCTAAATTGGCATTTGGTGTTATGTTTAAAAAAAGGGGAACATTTAAAAAGCGTCTATCTTGTCATGATTATCTCTATAACGTTTGAGGTGCTTAAATGCTTTTAGTAAGCAAGACTGACATCTAAGTCAAGTGCAGTATATTCAGTATATTGCTGTATATGTGCTTCTTTCTGTGAAGAACGAGGACACCCATGTTATCTAAAGGAACTTCTTGGTATTGTTAGTGAACAAACTAACCAAATGCCTTGTGTTTACATGCATTGTTAACTCACTGAACATGGAGTCATGGTGATTAATCTGTAAAATGTGATTAATTAGATCTTGTAATGTGAGCTAACATATTGTATGCGTTTCGTGAATAACTCGCACTGCAGAAAGCTAATAGACAACAGCTACTGCTCTATGAAAGTGTAACTTCTGGGAGTGCAGGTACAGACATAAATAGACTTGTGACAATAGCTGTTTGTATCAGCTGGAACCAAACATCCTTGCATCATAAACCTAAGTGTTAGCAGTCTTTTTCAGCAATTTATAAATAAGTACACCTTCCACTCATTATGATGATGTGGATGCAAAATTGTTACATTGACGTGCAAAAAACCCCAAACAGCCCCCCCCCCCGCCCTACCCCAAATAATACAAAGTACTCTATCTCGTGTGCAATACTTTGTACCAGTGGGAAGTCTTTTAAAGGCAAGTTTCCATCAACGATGTAAATCAGTCAAGCTCTGCTCTCAAATACGCACGCACGCACGCACACACACACACACACACAGCATATTGACTCTCATGCCCTTGTTGAAACCTTCAGATGGAAGATAAAAGCACATTGAACTCGCAGTGCATTCAGAATTGATCAGTTTAAAATATTGATAGTTTGGCGGATACTTTTTTTTTTTTGCGCCCATACATTTATTTATTACTATTATTTATCTATCTGTTTTTTGTTGTTGTTGTTTGTTTTTATTTTTTTTTGCTAGTGACTTGCACAATGTAATGCTGTATTTTTATTAACGATTAGAGATATTATTCTAATAATAAACACAGGTTTTTATATGTGTTTTTATAACAGGGTCGTCAGTTTACTGTGGTGGTCACATATACTTGACCAGTAATGGAATTGAGAACAATGCCAGAAAAGCATATTTTGCTGTGGAGTCTTGGGGTGTTTTTGGTAGTTTGGGGGTTATTTCAACATTCCGATTAAATTTCAAGCTTTTGTCTGGAAAACATCTGCCTAGCTGTGGTTCTCTTGAGCAAGACTCCTAATGCCAGTTGTAGGATGAGTTTTAATAGCCGACCCTTTGCACTGACCTGCCTGTGGCGCAGCAAAGCAGGGAGAAATTCCCTGCAGTGTCCAATCAGGCAGCACATTATTATTAATTATGAAGGATACATTCATTATTGACAGACTAAATACCAGTGAAGAAAAATGTGAGGAGAATGCACTCCTTGCAAAAACAGACTCTATAATGGAATTTTGTCTCGTGTTCTTTGTATGAAGGATTTAGTTGATTCACATGAATTCACTCAAACAGAGCTGGATGTAAGTTACAGTAACTATATAAATCACTGGAAAGAATAATGTTCAGTTTTTATGGTGTAGATTAGATTAATAAACAATTCAGTGAAATAAATAAGTAAATAAATACATTTAGTTTTTCCATGCTTTTCTTCGTAATGTTTCAGTGTAACTCACTGCAACGACTCTACCATGAGTATATTTCAGCTAAAGTTGCAGATGATCTCAGCTATTGCTTCTGCCCTTGCTTATTCACGTTCCTCTTCTTTTGCGTTTTATTCATTCTCATTGGCTACAACTATCTCTTCTTTGTCGTCTCCGGTTGTTTAGCTGTGACTACAGCAATGCTGGAAGTCTACAAATTAATTGCACAGATGATGACAATGGTGGAGCGTTTCCCTGTGTGTTTTTGGAAGTTTAATTTGCTACTACCTGTCCAGATTTTAATCCCTAACCCAGCTTTTGCCTCCTCCTGAACAAAATACTGACCAGCTATTTTTCAATATTCTTCTGGAGTGCACATGAAGTGTCACATTTAAAGAATTTACATCATTATTTACACAACCTCAGCTATGCAGAGCCGCTGTGTCTACCCACATGTATTTTGTTATACATGTACAATGATTATAAAGGGCTTTTCTATTCTATTGTTCCATCTTAGCCATCTACCCAATCATTGCCTCTGATACTAGCAGCATTTCTTTGTAGTTAAAAAAAAGTCCTTATAAGGCAGTGAGTGGTGTTATTTTAATAGCACTGATGTTTGGTGAACAGCTCCCTGGTTGCCAAATATACTCTATAATATACCTGGATAGCTTGGCAGGTAAAGTTTGTGCATGATATGTTAGCAATCCTGTCAGGGTTTTTCTTTAATTAAGCACAAACCTGCATTTGGACTCAGAGATAATTGGTGAGTAAAGGTCACCATAGCTTCACAAAACCCATAGTTTGTGCTGGTGTATAAAGTATGGCAACAATTTTTTGTATAAATGTCCCAAAGTAGGAATTGATGCTACGATGGAACGTTATATCACGATGGTCAGATGTTCTGATTTTCTGTGCCATGTTAATGTTCTGCAAAGTATATTTTTCTACTCAGTATTCAGCATCATGCCGGAGCAGAAGGTAGGAACTATAACATAAAATTAATTATTGAAATTATTTTAGTACTTGCCAAAACACAGTGGTGCCATAAACCTTACATTGGTGGATGGTGTAATAAATTCTTCTTTCTTATTTTAAAGTACAAAAATGTCCTACGTTTATCCTGTTTGTTATCTCAATTACAAATCTCTAATATCTAGCATCTTTCTTTTTTATATGATTGCTTTAAGTTATGAAGTTCTCATTTGTTTCTTAGCTGAATACCATCTTGAATATCTAATAGTTCACAGCAATTGTTAGGTTTAGTTATGACGCTGCAGAGTCACAGAGTGAGCAACATCTTGTTAAAGCTCTTGAACTGGCTGTGATAATACAATAGAGAAATTGGCTTTGTGCTAAATATGAGCAATATGCCATCATATTCCTGTAGACTGGAGTTCATCATTGGATGCAACACCTTCGAAATGCCTCAATCAAGCACTGCAGACTTTAGTACAAGCTGTGTTTAACCCCATGAAATTGCAATCTTTGTATTTGATATAAAGTAACCAACGGATTTTGGAACATCTTATCTGCATTTTTGATTTTAGCAGATAGGTACAATTTGCCCACATGTTATGCTGACCTTGAGGTCCACCTACTAGTCATGAATATTTATGGTTGCCAATATTTATGCAGTCACAAGAGACTTATTAGCATACTTGAGCTTCGCTTCCTACCTAATTTCAATGAGATGACAACCTGATGTCATAATCAGAGGTGGACAATGAAGCTACCGTAACTTCATCTATTCTCCATTAATGTTAGAGATATAGCCGTGATGGAAATGACCCTTTTGACATTTACAGCACTGCTTAAAGATGATGCAATAATTCACGTTTGGGTCTGTTAGGTTAGAGTGGAAGAGTGCTGTGCTGATTGAGCAGTTGGGAGCAGTGTTGTTGAATGGACTTTGCATTTTTGACTGTTTCAGAATGAGGATTTAGGAATATGTGGTGTCACAATGTCCTCGCAACATCGCGTGGTTTGATATATTCCGAAATTAGGAATATTGCTGAATGTATCACTATTCACTACTTACAACTTTACTCATTTTCCAATTTAACATACAAATAAAAAAAACATGTTTAAAAGTAGCCACTTTTTTGTGTGTGTGTGGCCTTTTTCAGCTTTATTTGATAGATACAGTAAAGAGAAGAAAAGGAAAGTAGGGGATTGTCTGTCCATTTTAACTAAAAACGAATGAACAATTAATAAGATGTTAAGTTTAGTTTTAGTTTGCTGTGACACACCTGGTGAATCAAAGCCAAAGGTCGGATGTTGCACAGTAATAACTAATTTAAGAGTCAATAAATGACCTGAATGTTAAAGTCCAAGAGTGTTTTGAATAGAACATCAGTGTGGTAGCTGGTCCCGGGTAGGAGGAAGAGAAGGTCGTGAAGTCGACCAGAGTTTAATAGGTGGAAGGCATCATATATGAAGGTCCGCTTTCTCAGGTTTCCTGTCAACGTAGACACCTGCTGAAGGGCCTTCACTAGACGATTGTGTGTGAGACATTGGGCGTGCAAAATTCAGTGGGCTTTCTGAAATGTATGCTGATCGTGCAGAGAGGCCATGATTTTGAAGCAAGTACTCTGTGTTCCGGAGGCATTTTGGATCGAGAGAGAATTAAACCAGGAACTGAATGAGAATTTTCTTATTAGGGTTGTTGCAAATGGCAGATTTTTCTTCGATATTAATCAACTACCATTATTGGAAGCTTTGTCTAATTTTCTCCTCAGTTCATCTCCACCGACTCTGAAGAATATTTCCCATACTATTTGGCTTCAGTATGTTTATTTGAATAGAGAAAATAAACAGCCGTGTTTTATTTTTATTTCGTTTATTTATTTTTGCTATGTGTTGAAAGTGAACCAAAAGAGTTGAGCTGTATGCTGTTAAGAGCAAAACAGCGAACTGAAAAATGCAAAGTTTCACAGGGCTGAAGGGAACTGGCGAGTTGGGTGTTAGTTCTCTGCACGGCTGATGCTACAGACATTCTTTTTAATGTCACATGTCTTCATGAGGTTGATAATTATTTTTACATACTCAACACTCTGCTGTTTTGGAGGACTTTTGCTTTGAAACGTCTGCTCAGGAGGTATTCATGAGAAGAATTTAAACCAAGCAGTAAAGTAGAGATGAGTAGAATTTATTAGTTAATAAGGAACAGTATAATGATCAACTGTATTTATGACACGCTCTTCTTTTTCAGATGTTCACTGGCCTCTTGAAGCACACACCACCTCAGGCCTCCGCTGCAGCAGCCTCTTCCTCGGACCAAAACAGCAACGCACAAACTACAGCTCCCACAATCCCACGGGGACACCTGGTTGTGGGCACCAAGGACCAGCTCCGCCTCCTCACCCCTGTGGGCAGCACGGTGACATCCAATCACTGCACCACATCCGGGGTCCACGCTGCTAAGCACTCCGGAGGAGCGCCACGGCCTCCCTCCTCTATGAGCGAGGAGGATGATGGAGGTGGCGGAGGCAGGGTGAAGAAGAAACGAAAGAAAAAGGACAAGAGGGAATGGGAGAAAGCAGGAGTGGAGTGTGAGGAAAAGGAGAGCAGCAAACCAAAGAAACGAAGGGAGGAGAGGGAGCCAATAGTGGTCTCCCTGAGAAAGAGCAAGGAACCCAAGGAGGGAAAGGAGCGTAAGGAGCGCAGGACCAAGGGAAAGGAGGGCAGGACAGAGAGTGAGACGGTGCTGAAAAATGTGTCAGGAGTTAAAACGTCAGGTGCCGCTGTTTCCCCGGGATCGGCTCAGATGCCTGTCAAGGTTCCTGGCAAAAGAGGAAGAAAACCTAAGGTCAAAGTCCTACCTCCTGTACCCTCGAATCAAGGTTTGAAGAGTGTCAAGTGTTTTTGTTTGTGTGGCAGTGACAGCAAGAAGTTTTGGATTGTGTTTTTAATAGTGTAGTTTGCTTTACCTACAGTAGGGATGTGCATGATTAGTTTACTAGGCAATTAAATATTACTGCCCTTGTTAATTGGTACCAGAAATACTTTTAGGTTAAGCTACCTCTTCATAGCTTATTAATTTATCCCATCTGCAAAAAGTTTTTATTCTGATGTGCCACATGCCGTTTTTCAAGGCTGTGTCCGCTGACAGCTTCTTAATGTCTAATGATGGTACCAGTAGTAACTTTAATTTTAAAAAAAAAATACACCCAGGCTGCTTTACTTATGTGATGGTGGCAGTGTTTGCTGTCTGCTAACCTCTGCTGCTTTGAAGTCTGTGTGAATGAGTGTCTCGTTCTGTGTTTTGTCAACAACCAAAGAACAAAACCTTAAAAATGTGATGACAACAGGCGTTTGAGCTCGAACAGTTCAGGACTAATTGGCAGGCGAGGATGATGCCTGTCCTGTTTGTAAATGTCCTTAAATCATGATCAGACATGTCAGCATAAATATAGGTTATTATAATGCGATTGTTGGATTTAATTAAGACCGAGTACGCATGGTTATGTGTTTGCACGTGTGTGGGTGGGTGTATTAGCATTCTTTCAATAGCTGAAGAACAGAAAAAGATTTTCTGCAAGAATTATATCAGTGCATGTTTGATGATGCCAAACCCAGCAATAGACTTAGATGACACTGAAAGTAGGATAATAGAATTTATATGTATTATTGAAACAACTACAAGCTGTATTTTGGATTCTTTGTCACTGCTGCTGACAGTCCACTGTTGGCTTGGGGACAGTGTATACTCTCAATGCTGTTTTTGCGACCAAACAACAACAAAACAAACAACACAAGAAAAACCCCACATGTTCCCCCGTGGGTGAATATTCACGGTGATGTTGACATTCTTGGTTAATAAGAACATTGTGCCTACGTCAAGATTATTTACATCAGCGTGCAGACTCTTCCTGTTAAGTCCTGAAAATTATTGAGTTGGTATAAAATTTAGCCAAGATATTAATATTTTCATGCTCTGCCTATGATGAATTAAAAGAACGTACTGACCCCTTAATCGCTTAGCTGGACCATCAGGTCAAAATGTCAATATTTCTTGTACTTTTGTTTAGTGGTATTTAGTAAATGTAAGCCTGCTTGCCAGCCAAGTACAGTGTTCAAGAATGCAGGGCGTTGCCATACAACGGCCCTAGCAAACTAATATTAATACATGTGCATCAAAAGAGCTGTGGGAAAAAAGAAAAAGAAAAATCAGCTTCAGTTTAAGAATGACTAAAGTTATCATGGAAGTGTGACCACCGCCGCTTGTCCTGTACAAGAGCTTGCATTAACTCACAAATTTCCAAATCCTCTTCAGCTCGTCCTACCCAAGGAGTCCACACAAAAGTCCCAGGGGGGGCACACGGCACCCAGGCCGCCCACAGCCATGGTAAGAACCACGGTCAGGCGAACAGCAAGACGCCAGTCCTGTCAGCGCCAAAACAGAGGGGTCGAAAACCCAGGTAAGACTTTCTGATGGGCTAACAATTCATGGGTGGAGAGAAGAATTTACAAGGAGAATATTGCTATAGGGAAAAAAGGTAGAGAAAAGAGGCCACACTAGAAAACCCCTTGAAGTGCACAATAATGGGGTAAAGCAAGGAAGTCGGCAGTAAACCTGTCGTGTGCAACAAATAATGCAGTTCCTTGGTTACAAATATTTCACTTTGAAGCTACATTAAGGAGAAATACTAAAGAGAGACCCAGGACATCATGAATGCATAGTAAGATTTTGACCTTTGCAAAATAAACCACTAAAGTCAAGCTGGTGATTTCTGGAATTAGTGAATTTTTGAAAGCTAATTAACTTTGGAAATGTGTTTGAATCTTAATTTTAATGTGAAGATAAACAAACACGTCCATGCAAGCTGATAAAATGTTTCTCTTTATCAGCCACGCCATCACTTCAGAGATGCTATTCACGTCTTATCTCACAAACCTCTTATAAGCACATGAGGATGTATAAATATGATACAGATGCATATACCTTAATAACAGACTGTTTAATTGCAGTTGACAACCTTAGCTGTTCTTCCTTTACTGTCATTGCTATTCCCCCTTCTATTAATCAGCTCACTTTTGAAAAGCTGAGCAATTGGAGGGTAGATGGAGGGAGCACTGACACATCTGCCACAAATGCTGCTACTGTCATATTTTATATCCTCAAATAGTAATCAGGCTTTTTTTTTAAATTTAGCTCACCTGCAGAACACACCTGTATTAAAGTTTGATCAGCTTAATTTCTCATGTCTTAATACAGAAACTCATTTTGATGAGTAACTGAAGTGTGATCACAAGATGCACACGTACATTTTAAATAACATTAATAACTGCACTCTGAACTTAACCAGACCTTCCTGTAACCCTTTCGTATATTAACAGCCTTACTGTTTAAGTGGATGGAACCATTTAATCTCTTAATGGAACTTTTATTGTAAAACATTAGCATGCGTACGATACCCAACAGCAGCTGTACCAGATTGTATTTCCTCAGCTTGTGTCTGCGGCCAGGCTTTTATTTGTTCTTGTCATCTATGCACTTTGCCATTTTGAGACCCAGCTTTCAGGTGGCTACTGTTGGTTATTTTAAGAAAGAATGGCAGACTTTAGACAGGATTTCTTTGTGAATTACATTTGTGCTAGGATGATCTTAGATGTGTCACAGCAGCATGCAGTAACTATTGGGTTGTGGATAAAGAGAAAGATTGGAGCTCAAGAGATTGGTGTAGACTGGAATGCATATTTGTGACAAGTTGAGTCAAGGTTATGATGCTGTAATGTGAATGAGAGAAAGGAGGTGGTGTCAGAGAAAGAGCAGGTTTCTCAGACAAAAGCAGTACATGTGCAAGCAGAAATTTATGATGAAAATAGTTTGGAAGAAATGGATTGTGAATGAATGAGGGAGGACAGAAATGGTAACAGATGTGAAGTTAAGAAAGGAAGCAGCCGAGTTATGAAAGACAAAGAAGGAAAAAAACACCAGTGAGTGTGAGAAGAGAAGAAGCTGCCAATGAAAGTTATGAAGAGAATGTAGGAAAGAGATGATGATCAGTGCCATGAAAGGGGCGGGGGTGGGGGAGTGGGGTAGTAAGGATGAGAAGATACAGGGATAATGACGTAAAGGAAGAGTGGAGATAAGAGAGGAGAGGAGAAAACTAGATAAAAGGTTAGAGAGAGAGAGAGAGAGAAGATCCACTGTAGTAATGAAAAGAAGACCTTGTGAACTCTTCTGGCTTGGAGACATTTCCAGGTTATGCTCTGGTATCCGTCATGTGTTGTTCGAATAAAACCATCCACAGGAAGATTAGAAAAGCCTCATGTGGTGCAGCTGTAAATCCATCTTAATCTGCTGCTTTTGTCTTTTCTTATTGCTCACTTTGCCACAGTTTTTGTGCAAAAGAGAGAAAATGTCTTTAACCGGGGCAGGAGATGAATCTGTTTTGCGCCTTGGACTCTGCCTGCCAGTATTATCCTAAATCATTAGTCACCATAAGCAGTTCATGTATCAGCTGCATTTTTGACTTAATAGCATTTGATTGTTATACTGTAAAGTCAGCGGCAGAAGAAAGTGTGGAATATTGAGTAATTTTTCCAAAAGGTGACTTATACTGCATGTCAACATTTTGTTTAAAGTTTTATTTTGTATTGTTTTTTATTTGTGTCAACGATGCTTGATTGCTCATTCGACAGGCAATAAATATCTGTTCGAGAATGTCAAAATTTTTATGTTGCTTCCCTTCTTAGTTTAAAATGAATAGCTTTATGGCAGTATTCTATACATTAATAAAAGGAGTCAGAAAAAAAGCAGGGTTCCCCAAAGGGAAATTGTTTTATTGCAGTTGTTGTGAAAAAATGTTGAGAAATCTACAGAAGTAGAAATGAGACAAAATGACATTTCTGATGGATAACATTTTTTAAAAAGGGGAACAACGGATTTCCATCATACCACAATTTGATTTGACAAAGTGAAAACAAAAAGAAATGATTTGTTCGTTGTAGTTTTAGTAAGTGCTTGAAGCTGGGGACCTATCATTTCAAGTAATTGAACATTACACTTTGCTCTTTTGCGTTAACTCCTTTATTAAAATGTTGTAAACAACGCATTTACTGTCATTTCTCAGGCTCTGATTTTGCTGTCAGGTAGCAGTTGGGCAGTCTCGTTGTAATCTGTGATCAATCAGTGGTTGTCTTTTGTGATTAGGAAATGACAGTACTTCTGCATATTAGCATAAAGAGTAAGAGCTGAAAGAACTTCCTCAACCAGTCCGCCACAAATCCTCAGGGAGCAGCAGAGTTTCCAGCCGCTGAGTGAGAAAATGCTGCTGCAGGCTACTAGAGTGGCGAATTACTCATCAGAATTCCTGCCCTCACAGAGATCCTGGCGCAGCGCCGGTGGAGAAGAAGAAGAAGGGGAAGAGGAGAAACCAGGAGCTGGCTGTCCAGGAGGGGGTGGAGAGTGATGACACTACCTCAATGTCAGCCATTAACATGGGTGGAGAGGACAGCCAAGACCCCCTGGATAATGCAGTGAGTGCACAGCAAAACTGGATAGAGGCTGAACACAAAAGGCTGTTATCACAGTATTTACAAAGAAAAACCTACACAAAGGATAAAGGGTCAATTTGATGATATTCTGAACATCAGTAGCATTCTTAATGGCAGGAATCTTAGCAGTTTTTGTCGTCTTTAGTTATATACCACTTTTAAAACAACCAGAGCTGAACAGAGTGCACATTTAAAAAAAAAACAGGGAATGTCAAAAATAGGTGCACAGACCACCAAAATGGAAAACAGGATTAAATGTCTAAGGCCATTAAATAAACAAGAGCCACCAAAAGTTGAAAGCATGTGTTGAGATTTGCATCATTAAGGAAGGAACATTTGACTGTGCGATGCAGTCTGCAATTAGAAGCAGTTCTTCTAGGATCTACAAGGCTTAGAGGTAGGGTGGAGGCAGATGAGCGCTTAAGTCAATTCAGTATTTGACAGGCATACAGAATGTCAATGCTAGTGCTGCTGTAATGCTTCTCTATTTTGCTGGTGCTAATTTGGAGTCTTCCAGCAGCACTCTGTAGCAGCTGGAGAGAGTCTGAGCTAGCCAATACACCAGTGTGTTTCAAATATCCAGGAGAGCAATGTGTTGATAAAAGTCTTCGTGTCACTGAGAAATCGGATGGGCTTCAGGAGGCAGGTGGAGTTTTACAGATTGCTTCTCTTTTTGACTGGAAAGACATTTTTGAAGGCACAAAATAAAATGGACAAGATTTCCACATCGGAGTGTCAACCTGACTTAATTAGCTTAGCATTCTTTCTTACATTCACTGCAGTATCTGCATTGTATAAGAGTAACACTGATACACAGTCGCTGAGCATAAACATTTAATCATTTCTCTTTTCTTTAGTTTACATGTAGATATACTTCCTCATGCCTTCTTTTTAATTCTTCTGTCCTTTTTTCTCCTCGTATTCTCTCTTCTTTTTTTTTTTGCCCCTCCTTCTGCAGAAGCGACGTTCGGGACGACAAGTCAAAAGGAGGAAGTACAACGAAGATTTGGACTTTAAGGTGGTAGATGATGACGGAGAGACCATTGCAGTTCTTGGAGCCGGTCGCATCGCGGCGCTCAATGCCACTGCTCTGGCATGGCAGGCTGAGGTAAGCACATAGATGGTCATCTGGTTCTTTCTTACTTTTCCCTCTGTTTTGTTATATCTATGTTATCATTAAGGTTTTATAATATTTAATATCTTAATAATTATAGCTTTTAAATACATTTTCGGTGTTTATCTGATTGCAAAAGTTTGTTGCTTTGGAGTCTTAGTGTTAGGCCTATTTGAATAAAACTTTTGCATTGCATTGCAGCCTTAAGCTTCAGTAGTTAATCTTCTGATTCTGTCTCTCAGGAACCACCTGAGGATGAGGCCAACATCATTGAGAAAATTCTGGCTGTAAGAACAGTGAAGAAAGAGGTGAAGGACAGAGAATGAACACACACACTCGGCTTATATAGTTTTTTTTCTCTTTATCGCTGCTCGCTTATTTCTTGTTTATTAGTTTTGTCTCTTTCTGTATCTCCATAGACGTCATCATCAGAGGACCAAACGGAGGAGATTGAGGAATTTTATGTCAAATATAGAAATTTGTGAGTACCTCTTTGACATTGGTTATTCATGCAGTTACATATACTGGAAATTGATATTTTTAGCTGTCACGGATGAGGCCACTTTCACTGTTGTATGTTTTCCTGCACAACAGTGAAAACATTCCTTTGCCTCTTGTGTGATCATTGTTGGAGGAGGCACAGGTTAGAGATGTTGTGCTGCATTGCAGGTTTGATGTCAGGTTAGATCAACTGTTGGCAAAATCGTGTGTTAAAGACTAGATTAGAGTAGCCCTTTATTGTACATGTACAACAAAATTGTGGCTGCTCTGCAACGACTGTGCGGATTTAAATAATAAACAGACAGGAATAAATAGCAAACAGGAGAAATATATACAATCAAGAGGGCTGTATACAAAAATAACAGAAAGACACACATTAGAGAACAAATAGTGGTATTCACAGTTAGAACCGCCACTCTGTCTAATACAGTCTAAAACTGCACTTCCAGTAGCACTCGCACCTGTGAGCCAGCCGGCAGATTATAATTGCTTATGTGGTCAAACAGTCTTAGATCTGCACTGCTTTCATAATAAACCATCACTTAATTTTCTTCCATACTTCAGAGCATGAAAGTGTGTACATGACTGTGTAAACTGGGCATGGCTCTTGTACATTTAGGCAGTCGTCACCATCGTTGATAAAATGATAACTTTTGACTGCACGACAGCTGCTAGCATTGACAAAAAGGTCAGCAATGCCAATAATTAGGTCTTTTGACAAGTTAATTACTGGTTGGAGGGATGTCAGTTACTCGTCATCTTTCGGCTTACAACCTCGCATTCATTACATGAAAGGAATGTCGTGCCTTTGTTGAAGTTGTTAATAGTTTTTATGACATTTATTTGAAGTAATTCGAAGTTTATACACATGTGGTTCTTTAACTAACAGTTGCTTGTAGCTTTGCATCCGTAGTCTCACAAGCACTCAGTTAATTTTATCCCCGAGGCTTAGGTTCTCCAGCCAGTCTAGGGATCTCTTGAGACTTTTTTTCTCTCTCTGGGACCTTTTATTATAAAGAAAAGACCTAGAGAAATATACATTAGTAATTAAGATTGTAATTTACTCTCTGAGGTGATGAATAAAACATGATCAGATCGCTTGAGCAGTAAAACTGAGTCAGTATGAATGTTACTCAGTAGAGTAATATATTCAGAAATTAGAAATATGTAGTAATAGTGTAATATTTGTAGTATTAAAAAAATCACCATTATGCATAATGCAATTGCAAATATATAAGCATTTGCATAGTAACTACATGGTATCCCTTAAACACGTCAGATACATTTCTTGTATTTGTCCATTTATGGGTTGAGGTTTATAGATTAAATCACGTATGTTAAACTGCAGCCACAGGAGCAGTAGTAGAATTTGTTTTGCCGTCTTTCCTTTCCCTTTAATTAGGGAACACTTTCTCAGTATTGCTGATTAATTCCAATTAAGGTAACTACTTCTAGCTGAAAATGCATATTTTAATCACTTGCAGTGCAGAAAACACTGGTTATGTTGAGTGAGGTGAAGGCTGTTCTCTTTATGGATTGATTTTCAACTGTTCACACAGTTCAAACAGGCAAACGCCCGATTGTTTTGGGAATCCACCCATAAAAATAGAAAACTGTACGAGTATTTAAATCATCTTCTCATGTGCCTCTGAACCACTTTCAGTGTTCAGGTTTTAGATCATCCTTTTGACATCCTGTTCTGAGCTGTTCTCACACGAGCTGAAAGGCTAAGTAGCTGGCTATGTTTTTTGTCATGTCATTTCAGTTCCTACCTACACTGCAAATGGGCCACTCTGGAAGAACTAGAGAAAGATCCCAGAATCCACCAGAAAATCAAGCGCTTCAGGACCAAACAAGCCCAGATGAAACACCTGTTTGCCGAGGTAAGGTTAACCATCATACCCTCATATGCTGTTCAGGACTGGATAAAGGGTTAATATTCTCCTTTTAAATGACAAGACAAGTTCATGTGCTATTATCCAGCTAACCATTTCCAAAGCTGTGTTGCCCATAACAAAATAATTATGAACATATAAATATGATTAGTTTGTGTATGTAATGAATGGGCCACGCTGCCTGATAGTTCACAGCACATCCATCCTGTGTTACTGCAAAGTGTTCAGGGTGCTTCAGAGGTTAACAGGTTAACTCCATCAGGATGTGATGGGGTAACACCCTGACACAGAAGCATCATTTGTTCTTAAGTGCACACTTTCATCTTCATGGGAGTCGACCTTGTCACACTTCATGGGAGAGAAACCGTTGTTGTTGCAAAACTGTTAGTAGACTTGTTTGACAAATGGGTTCAAATACAGGGAGTGCAGAATTATTAGGCAAGTTGTATTTTTGAGGAATAATGTTATTATTGAACAACAACCATGTTCTCAATGAACCCAAAAAACTCATTAATATCAAAGCTGAATGTTTTTGGAAGTAGTTTTTAGTTT